GCTCAGATGTATGTAGGGCGGAATTTTAAAAAAATCACAAAATCAAAATCAAAGTAAAATAATAAAATAAAAAGGCATTAATAACAAAAGTAATAAAACATAAAATTAAAATAAGTTTATAGCCAAAATAATTAAAGCCCGTACACTACATCAGATTTTAATCAGATTGGTGTCCCAGTATAATTTTAAAGGTCAATCAAATGAACATGTTCTCATCAGGTAAGCGTGTGTTCAAACAATGAGGCAGAGGGGAGTGAAAATTTCATATTGACACTTTCTCTCGCCTTTTTTTTTGAGAAACCTCAGTCCCTAATACCTTGTAAGGAAGTCTTTGAATCGAGAAAACTGGAAATTTCATATAATGGTATTAAAGACAGCTTATTTATTGGGCTTGTATGTAAACTGCGATTGGGAAGTTTAATTTGAATGGCCCATGAATATAAATTTTACATGCATCATTGTCAACTGTTTTAGTCCACTTAAATCTTTACAAACTAGAAAACTACCGTCAATGTCAATCATATTTTACAAATATTCATGAAATCTGGTCGTCATCTTTCATTTATACTCCCAGAGACAGTTCAAAGACATGTAATTACTACCATTTATGATTTGTCAAAATACACAGAGCAAGGCTTGCAGTGAAATGGTTGGAAGTAAACCACAAGTTTTTGTTATTATATTTTATTTGACTTTGATTTATAATACAGAATTAAAAGTTGGTAAAGACATTTTTTAAGTGCAAGAGATTACACACACCTGTTTGTCAGCTTATTGCAATAACATAGCAACCTGATACTGGTTTTGACATTGTTTACGTGGAAATATTTTTCAATAACAATTATGACTTGTATACATAATATACTGCCACCACTCAAACGACAACATAGCACTGACCCCCCCCCCCCCACCAATAACTACACACAATATATATATATGCACATAATAGATGTCTATACACAAAAGGGACTACCCTCCTAAACCCTCTCTACATAATATAGTTACTACCAACCCCAAATTCTACATAAAATAGTTGCTATCAGCCCAATGTCTACACACGTCTGTTGGCTGCTGTTCACATACAATAGGCAAGAGTGATACTATATTTTCTGGGTTTGGTAGAATAAGTGAGATATTTTACCTGTTTATACATTTAGGTATTCACAATATTTCTTGCAATTCAAACGTATGCCACATAAACAGATGAACATAGAGCAATTACAAGCTAATGTAAAATCCCACACTGTGCCACTCAAAATGAAACAGTTGTTGTAAATGCCACAGTTGTTGTCAGCATCTTATAAATACATAATTATGCTATTAACTACACACAAAGAAAATCAATAAATAACAAGAAATCATCTCTGCATTAACATTTATTTGTAGAGCTGTTCACAGTAATGTGTTTAAGTAGTTATATATATATGGTACAACCAATATATACTGCATATCTGGTAAATAGATGGTTCTTGTGCTATGAATCAAAATTACAATGTTCATATGTTATTTTCTGGCAGGACATGCTGAAAAGAAAAACCACATTAACTACAACCAAGTACCAATTTTTACATAGTATGACAGAAGCTACTGACCACATAAGATTGAATAAAGTGAAGTCAGTCTCAACTTCTTTCTAGTACTTGGTAATTCAAAGAGTAAAACTATGTTATTCATGTTAACATATGTATACGTGTATAACTAGCAGGACCAAATATAGCAATATGCAAAAACATTGACCATATATGGCATCATGTGTACATAAAAATATACCCAAATATGGATGTCAAACAAGCCAATATAAGATACACTATTATATATGACAGGATGTTTTATGTGAGTTTACAATCCAAATATGGATGTAAAACAAGGCAATATAAGATACACTATTATATATAACAGGATGTTGTATGTGAGTTTACAATCCAAATATGGATGTCAAACAAGCCAATATAAGATTCACTATTATATATGACAGGATGTTTTATGTGAGTTTACAATCCAAATATGGATGTCAAACAAGCCAATATAAGATACACTATTATATATGACAGGATGTTGTATGTGAGTTTACAATCCAAATATGGATGTCAAACAAGCCAATATAAGATACACTATTATATATGACAGGATGTTTTATGTGAGTTTACAATCCAAATATGGATGTAAAACAAGGCAATATAAGATACACTATTATATATAACAGGATGTTGTATGTGAGTTTACAATCCAAATATGGATGTCAAACAAGCCAATATAAGATACACTATTATATATGACAGGATGTTGTATGTGAGTTTACAATCCAAATATGGATGTCAAACAAGCCAATATAAGATACACTATTATATATGACAGGATGTTTTATGTGAGTTTACAATCCAAATATGGATGTAAAACAAGGCAATATAAGATACACTATTATATATAACAGGATGTTGTATGTGAGTTTACAATCCAAATATGGATGTCAAACAAGCCAATATAAGATACACTATTATATATGACAGGATGTTGTATGTGAGTTTACAATCCAAATATGGATGTCAAACAAGCCAATATAAGATACACTATTATATATGACAGGATGTTTTATGTGAGTTTACAATCCAAATATGGATGTCAAACAAGCCAATATAAGATACACTATTATATATGACAGGATGTTGTATGTGAGTTTACATCCAAATATGGATGTCAAACAAGCCAATATAAGATACACTATTATATATAACTATTATGTAAATGTAATTTTGCTTATCAAACCAAATTCTACAAGCAGTCAATAGCTGGTGTTAGTACACATAACCTTTTATTTACGTTTGATATGTTTTGCTACATTAGTAAAGACCTTGATGACACCATTAAAGTCGGCAGATACAAATACTTCTCTTTCAAGTCTATCTCCTTTCTTGGATGATGCACCTTGACATTCTTCAGCCTCATCATTATCAGTTAACTGTAGAATAAGTGACGGGTTTGTTGAAAAGATTGCTGCCGTCACAACAGCATTGTGGGCTGTGGATAGTTAAACAGAATATGTAAATGCAACAATAATAACAAAACTATCAAACTCTTGGGTAGGGTAACAACAATGGGTAAGATGGGTTGGGTAACAACAATGGGTAAGATGGGTTGGGTAACAATACCGGGTAAGATAGGTTTGGTAAAAACACCGGGTAAGATGGATTGGGTAACAACACTAGGCAAGATGGTTTGGGTAACAACACCAGGTAAGATGGGTTGGGTAACAACAATTGGTAAGATGGATTGGGTAACAATACCGGGTAAGATGGGTTGGGTAACATCACCGGGTAAGATGAAATGGGTAACAACACCGGGTTAGATGGGTTGTGTAACAACAATGGGTAAAATGGGGTGGGTAACAACAATGGGTAAGATGGGTTGGGTAACAACACTGAGTAAGATGGGTTGGGTAACATCACCGGGTAAGATGGGTTGGGTAACATCACCGGGTAAGATGGGTTGGGTAGCATCACCGGGTAAGATGGGTTGGGTAACAACAATGGGTAAGATGGGTTGGGTAACAACACCGGGTAAGATGGGTTGGGTAACAACACCAGGTAAGATGGGTTGGTTAACAACACCTGGTAAGATGAGTTGGGTAACAATACCGGGCAAGATGGGTTGGGTAACAATACCGGGCAAGATGGGTTGGGTAACAACACCTGGTAAGATGGGTTGGGTAACAACACCAGGTGAGATGGGTTGGGTAACATCAGCAGGTAAGATGGGTTGGGTAACAATACCGGGTAAGATGGGTTGGGTGACAACACCAGGTAAGATGAGTTGGGTAACAATACCGGGTAAGATGGGTTTGGTAACAATACTGGGTAAGATGGGCAGGTAACAACACCTGGTAAGATGGGCAGGTACCAACACTTGGTAAAATGGGCTGTGTAACAAAACTGGGTAAGATGGGTAGGGTAACAATACTTGGTAAGATGGTTTGAGTAACAACACAGGGTAAAATGGGTTGGCATGCTCACTTCATGAGATGGGTGGGTTTGGCATGCATATACCTTTATTACTACCTTTATGCTTTCCCAGAAATCATTGCGATCTCTTCTAACAGAACTAACTTCGTGAAATC